TTACAGGGTTTATACTGAGTTCAATATTGTATAACTGTATTAATTCAGCTGTGAACCTAAAAATTTACATCCACTTTTGAAAGAGATGTATCCTTGCTCTGGAGTGTGTTACTATGTTAAAGCTGTAATGAAATGCTTTTTCTAACCATGTGGTTATTAAATTAAAAAAAAAAGAAAGAAAAGGTGTTAACTTTTCAAGGGTATATGCATTTAAGATCTTGATGTTGCTGAGCTGTTATGCCACATCCACTCATATCTCTTCTATACGAGCATGCTGCCCTCCGAATACCTTTGTCACACCCCTCTTCATAATGTAATATCATCTATTTTCCTTTTATCCCTCTGGCTTGTTTTCTTTTTTCTCTTCAACTTGTTTCCCGTTAGAGTTCAAACTGTAGAAAGGTCTGACTCCCTTGGTGATCCTCTACCAACATGTAACCCAGGATGTGATGAACTGCCTATGTATTTTCAATGTATAAAACAATAGCTACTAGCAACATGTACTTATATTTAAATTCATAAAAATTAAAAATAGCTTCTTACTCATCACAGGAGCTGCCTGTTCTGATAGACTGCACAGAACAGCACTTCCCATCATCATATAAACAGCACTGCTTTACAATACTGTGGGCAAAGGGAGTATGACTTTTTAAATATTCTCATTTTCAATAACCAACTTTAGATATTTAAATAAAAGCTGACAAAAACCAAGCACTGATGCAAAAGAAAGCAAAGAAAAAAGTTTAATAGTCCAGGTGCTTTTGTAAAAACATAAGTGGGACATTTTACACAGAACATACAATCATTTCAACATACAAGGTACTCTGCTTTCAACATCCTATTTTTAAAATTTAAAAAATCATTTAAAAGGCTTGTTTCTAAAGAAAATGAGGCAATGTGCACATTTAAAACACTCTGGCAGCACTGAATACAGCATATGGGCATCATCTGTACATAACTGAAGGTTAAACCTGAGGAATTAGAAGTTTTTTAAAAATCACAACTGCATAGCAAAATCATGGCCAGATAATAGACATCAAAACCTGTGGAGTAAGAGAACTTGTAAACTATTTAGTAAGCACAATTTAAAGCAAAAAAAAAAAGTCATGGGAGATAATGATTGATATATCGGTTAACTAACAAAGTTCCAAAACGTTTCATCTTTAAAAAGAAAAGACAATTCAACAAAGTTGTCAAATATTTGTCCAACAACACTAAATTGTTCAATCATTTGGTTGAAAAGAGCTAGTTTGGCCAAATTTCTCCTGCATGTGTCACTGGGCATTCCCAAATGGAAAGGGCAAATTCCAGGATGGAAAAGTAGCTGAATTAATTTACTTATTTAGGCTTCTTTTTTCATACATGAATGCTCTGGGGGAACATTTACAACTCTAGAAGCTTTGTATTGATAAGAAAATATACAAAGACTAAATAATGCACAAACAAAACAAACAGTAAAGGGTATTTTAATAGGCAGTCTTATTTTAAAAACCACATGTAAAATCACTGGTGATACCAATTTAAGAACATGTTTTTTTCAAAGTAAACAGTGTTTAGAAGTGCCCAAACACATAAAGCCATTATTAACTAAACATAACATGTTAAATTTACATAGGATTCCATTTCAATATATTCCTCACAACAGCCCTGTGAGGTAGGCTAAACAAGTTACAATTATTTTAACTAAGGCAATAGAGGCCATTGGTGATGAGTGATTTACAAAGAGGTTATAGGTTAGGATATGGTAGCGTTATGCTGATTAATATTAAATATTTAAAGAGGAAAATGCCCCAAATCTTCTATCATATATGGCCATTTTAAATAGTAGCTTTTAACTGATGTTATTCCAAAACAATTATATACCATAGCAATTATATACCATATATATGAATTAGTTATAAATCTGATTTTAAAGCATCCCTCTTAAAAAGTGAATTAGACTCAGTGCTTTGGTACCTTAGATATTGGAAATGCTAAAAACATTTTTTCCCTAAAGTCCTGTACTCTCTGAAACAATCCAATATTACTAAAATGCCTTTTACCAATCTCTGACAATTTGATTTATTTTAAAACTAGTTCAAACTTAAGTTTCAGGCCAAGCAAATACATTCACCTACCTCTGCCCTATATACTGCAAAATTCTCTATACATTTATTCCTAAACACCAACTTATTTTGACTGAGTACTACTAAAAATATATACCATTTTAAACAAACATAGCTTAAGTGATTATGAATCAAAGTAACTCCGTTAACCCAGAAAAAAAATATACTTTTAGTAGTCAAGGTAGGATTATTTTCTAAGCCAATATTAACCTTTATATGTTATGTCCAACCTTTCTTTGCAAACAACAGAAGCAAATGTAATCCACTTAAATTCCAACTAATTCAAAAATCCTTAAGATATTTAGGTTAATCATTTCAGGCAACAAAATACTGACATCAGAATCACAAAGTTGAAGAATGTGAATACTGTTAAGATACGTGTAAAACTAAAAATGTACTGACCATGAGGTAATTTTGCTGTGATGATTAAGAAAAGATGTATTACCTATATAATACTTGAGTGCTAGAACTTGAAAAGCTGTATTTTTGGTAAAAACTAACAAATAACCTTTTATGGTTACTTGGATACTGAGTAATTTATGCTTACCACACATTTCTCTCGAAGAATATGTATAGTGTAAAAATAAAATCAAAGAATTTTTTCCAGACCCACATTTGTGACCATAAGAAAGTTAACTATTGCCATATGTAGTTAATTGATGGATTTTTTAATGAGCTATAACAAATATACTTTTTGAAAGCTTTAAGTTACATTTATTTGTGTATGGGTGTGCATGTCTGTGTGGAGGTCAGAGGAGAGAACTTGTGGGAGCTGGATTTTTCCTTTCCACTGGGCCCCAGGGACTGAACTCAGATCATCAGTGCATCTTGGCAGAACCAGCTGAGCGGTATCATCAGCCTATCAACGTATTTTTAATATGTAATGACATCAGCAAAATATTAGTTTTAGATGAAGTCTACCAAACAATTCGAAAGCAGAAGAATGAGATGTATTTAGAAAATTAAACCTTATTAGTCTGGAAACCTGAATGCAAAGTAATCAAATTGACTGCCATATGACAGAAACTCAAATATTTGTTATGTGAATTATCTAATGAATAAATTCTGCTCCAACAAATATACTTTTAAAAGACGATGACTTAAAATAGTTTTTAGTCTAGAATAATACATTTCATATACTTTTATACTGTCTTTAAAAATTAATTCTCTTTGTAATAATCACTTCTCATATATATATTCCTTTCCAAAAATTTTCCAGTTTTTTTGAAAGAACTGAAAATACATAAATAGCTACAATTTTCTGGAAAAGGATATAAAGAAAAACTAATCATTCTAGGTAAGTCATGAAACAGAGTATCTTGGCCTAATTAAAATATTTCATCACAAATATTTACTTTTATTCTTTATACCAAGGATGAACCACAAGATTTCTAATTATACATGATATTGTTGCTGGCTTGATTTCATAAATGAATAACTGCAAGTCAGATGTCTCATTTTAGAGACTCAGAACAGAACATTTTAAACAAACTGAGAAGATCCAGTTCAGATGTACAGCAGTTCACAGCCAATGGTACAGATGCTATCAATTAAACAGACAAACAGACATGCTCCCAATACTTTTTAAATCTATACTTGGAACATTCAAAGACTCACTAGATATTAAGTTTCTGTGTGCATTAGTCATTAAATGTTTGGTATATACATATTTACCAAAAGTTAAAAGATGTATGTGACACAATAAGCTGAGTCAAAATGAATTGTACAAAAATTCTTTTTCTAAAGTGCTTAAGGCAGCTCCTTCATGTCTATATCCAGTTGAATAAAACTGGTTTGGAATTCAACTGGTAAAAGGGAAATGCAATAGGTAAGCATGTTTTTATAAAACGTATTTTTCACACCTGTGATTTATCTATTACAGTCAACCTCTCATGCATTTCCTTTATGGAAAGCAGTCACGTTTGACTGGGGAAAGCAAACAGTAAAGCAGTAAAGAATGCCTGAAAGGTTTGCCAGCTTTTACAATGTACTGCGCTGAGCAAGAAAGCTCAATATTTTTAACTCTAATGATAATGAGAACATTACATATTACAATCAAGCTAATAGTTACCTTATTTTGAGAAAATTTAAATAGGCACTGTATTCAATTATTTTTAGTCTGAAAATGAGAGTGACAAACTTTTAACTTAATAAACTTAAGATTTTTCAACTACAATACTAGACATTTTGTTCTTTTTTTAGAGACCCTTAAAAATTAGAGGGAAGGAAAACCTTAGATTCTTATTTTGAAGTAATGAATGTTAATACCAAGTATCACATGTGATGAGAACTTGGATTTTGGATTTACTGACTTTATATATTTATTACTACACTATGCTGAGAAAGAACACCTTCTCAGTGAAATGAATGCATTTTTTCAAATGAATGTTTGAAAGTTTTATATAAAAGGTCTCAAATGATAGGACGAGGACTAGAAAGCATCATATGCATTCCTCCAGCTCCTCAGATACTTCCTTTTCCCACACCCCTGCAACAGAAAGCCCTTGCCACTATACAGTGCTGCCTGGCTTAAATTTCAGTCAACGGTGAACATGCTTAGAGGAAAAAGGCACTGTATAAATGAGAAGATACAATTATACAAGACAAATACAGTAAAAAGTTCTATACAAGAATATCTGGCTTTTCCTGTGTCATCTTTGCCAAAATATATTGAGTAGCTACATAAAACAACTCCAAAAATCTACTGCTTTCGGGTTTGAATAACTCCATTTTCCTTAGGTCATGAAATACCCTTCTTATAGGGAGGAGAACACTGAAAATTTTCTTTCAAACTATGAGGAACAAAATGTAAAACATTGCATCGGAGAACCAAAAGCTACAGACACCCTTCATTCTACAGACTGCTTTGAGTCCTTAAACATGTTATCAGATAAGAGAGTGGGTATCTGTTGTCAAGAAAAAATAATATCGTAGGTCCAGTTTTTTTCATCAAAAGAACAACAACAAAAATCATGCCATAAGCAGTAAATTCCTATTCTATGAGCTGCATATATATAGCAGTAGTGGACACTTCTAGAAGGAAGGTTATCATGCACAAGATACTTAAAACCATAATGAAAGAAATGCCACAAGAGAAATTAAAGTTTCAGAAATTAAGCAAAATACAAATTCTCATTTCTTTAAAGTTCTGAAGGCATCCTTAAAATACTGTCATTATAACTTTTAGTTTGGCTCAAAAGATGTGAGTTAAAAATTTTAAGAACAGATTTTTCTGTTTACTAGCCACAGGTTTTACTCACTGTTTTACATATTCCCCCAGACTTGGGAAAGATGTCTATGTTCATTTCTGGAAGAATCATAACCTTTTAGAAAGCAAATGGGTGTAGTGAAAGGACTGAGAAAAAAAATAAACTTCAAATGACTGTTTTAAAAAACTCAAATGCCAATTAAGTCAGAGATATGCAGATCTTTTTCAAAACCAGTTGTTTTAATTATTCTACATCTTATTTAAAATAATATGTAAAATATTTCAGTAAAGAAGACTTTAGGCACTGTCCTTTATAACCTATCTTTCTTTGACAAAAATAAGTAATGTATGATTTTCTACATCTTATAAATCCATATTATTAAATTTCCACTCTTATTAATAATGATAAAAATCAGCAATAATTATAATTGGGCCAAATTTGAGTAGAAATTTTCTCAAAAATAACTATAAAAGCTAAAATTAAAATGAGAAAATCAGAAAACACAACTTTCTAAAATTTTAGCCACAGCAGGGAGGGAATGAGAGGGCTAAGTGAGGAGCAGCATGGGAGGACACGCCCTCTGGCACTGTGTCAGTACCAGACTCAGAAATGAAATCCGACTGACTTTTGAGCTGTTTAAATTCTTCCTATCTGCTTTATATTTTGAGTTATAACTACATGAAAAATATATTTTAGAGAGGAAAAATGATATAAATCTAGTCAATAAATAATTTAAACAAAAATGCAGCTTACTTGTAAAAGAGGGAAAGTAAGCCATTATGAGAAAACTTCTCTATCATCCTCAGTGATTTCAATTTCTAGGAAACCTTAGGTAAGGACCTTGTATTTTTAAAGCTTCAGTGTAAGAACTAAGAAAAGCTAGTGATGGAAAAGAAATAAGACCAGTGAGGAGGAAAGGCAAGCTATATAAGCTTTGGGCCAGGTCCTCAGGTTACTATGTAATTAAACCGACCAGAAGAGACAAAGTAGCTTATGAAACAGAAAAATCAGTTTCTATGTAAATATTTAAACACTGCCCCTTTCCTATTTACTATTCCAAACATCAATCTTTTGCACCATACCTGCTTGCTAATATTGCACAGTAGATTCCTGTGACTGACTCCTATTTGGTGCTTAAACTAATGGATTCCAGCCTTTAAAGCAGAAGAAACCTGATTTCTACCACTCACAAATGTCGGTTAGTAACTGCACTGAAAGGTCACCCAATTAGAGAGGAAGGGTGAACATATCGGGAGTCAGCTCTACTGAGTAATGTTGTTCAGGCTGCTAGCAGAACCAGTCATTCCATTTTCATTCTTCTGAAGTGTTCTCACAGCACTTGGAACCTGCATCCCAGTACTCAAAGAAAGTCCACCACACCAAACCTAAGAAAAAACAAAAACAAAGCCTTAGTTAGACTTCAAATCAAACCGCAACTCCAGCAATTTGTTTGAAGGCAGCATACCACATGTATTAACATAAAAAAACCTCCAAAGTAACAACCTTCATATTTGAGCTTAGAAGCAGAGACAAGATGATTCCTTTAGAATCACAGTGGCTGAAAGATGTATTGGCAGTAGAAGCCATGGAATTTGCACTCAAGAATGGGAACTTAGGGCTGCATAACCTCAGAGACTTAAATTGGATTTGGATGTCAATACTGACACTAACCTTCAAATCCAAGGGCCGTGCACCCCAAACCAACTTCTTTATCTCAATTATTGCTTTTGATGTTAATGAGATATGACTTTAGATATAAGACTCTAATATCCCGCTCTGTTAACAGCAAAATCCATTAGTTTCTTTCCTATTTTAACAGTGAGAACACTTAAAAATACCAAATGACTTGACCATGTTCCATTAATTATCAAAACCATGGGCCAGTGAGATGGCTCCATGAGTAAATGCAATTCCAGACACTGCAAAACCAACTAGGAAAAATGGTACATACAAAAATGAAACAGTACTCAGTGGTAGAAAAGAAGACTGGCACACAGGACAACAGGGATAACCTTCACATGCATTATGCTATGCAATCAAAAGGCTGCACACCATATAAGTCCAATTAGATGAGTGTCTCAAAAAGCCAAAACTACAGGAATGGAAAATGGTTTAGCTATTGTTTGGCCTGGTTGTGATGGGAAAGCCCTACTACATAAGAGCATGATGGAATTTTCTAGTGTTGAAATATTCCAAATCTTTATTACAGTAGAGGTTATAAGACTATATGCATTTGGTGAAATTCTTAGAAGTGTATAATACTATCTATAAATTAGACCTTAAAAATCTAACTTTGAAAATTAATCTTGCGGCCAGGCATGGTGGCACACAACTTTAATCCCAGCATTCAAGAGGCAGAGGCAGGCGAAACTCTGCGAGTTCAAGGCCAGCTTGGTTTACATAGTGAGTTCCAGGTCAGTTGGGGCTATAGGGAGACCCCGTCTCAAAAAGACAAGAAAAAGAAAATTACTCTCGCACAAAAACAACATTCATAAACTAAGTTAGTAAAGCTAGGCCTTCAAAGAAAGGAAACAAAAAACTTTAGTAGGTTTAAAACAACTTCTTGAAGAACCTTATATGACATATCAATGTGTACTTATAATTATTTGGAATGAAAAGCAATGGATAAACTCAATAAACATGTTAAATACATTCAAATTAAAAATGAAATATTTTATAACAGTATATCTAAGAATTTAGAAAAGTAACTTCTGAGTTATATATGGTAAACAATTTGTCCTTGACTGATTAATTGGGAAAACAGCTCCAAATACATAGTGCAACAAAGGTTAGTGACAACATTCAGAAAATGAGAAACAATCCTGCCAATATTTTAAGTATCTCCCATGAGCATTTAATTTTATTAGTCATTTTTATGTTTCAGTGAAAAACTACGATTCCTGGTTATTAGCATTATAATAAAGCTTAAGATTTTAAGATGTCTAGAATAAAAAATTGTGAGGTCTAAAAATCCATATATATTCTATAAATTTATATTCATATGAGCAAATGCAATTTCAGCCACCTGATATTTGACAAAGGGGCCAAGAACATCAACTGGTGGAAAGACAGCATGTTCAGCAAATGGTGCTGGCAAAACTGGATCTCCATTTGTATAAGAATGAAATTAAACCCCTATCTTT